GTCAATTTTATTTAAAGTGTAATTTCTCTATTTATAGACATTTAATTTTAACACAAAATATATCATATGATAGCCCTAATTTAGGGGAATCTAATAAAAAAATGTTTGTGCAGTTTAGATCACCCATTGTGTCACAATTAGCATTTTAACTTTAATGAACTTTTTTATTAATTTTTATTTGCCCCATGACTTTTGATACCCCACTGTACCTGATTTCAATTTATTTAATGCTGATCCCATCTTCAAAAATCCTGAAAATTTGAATAACAATTAATTTAATATGCTATTATAAGTTTTAACTGGACTAACTACTCAACTGAATAATAATACACCTGGACCTGTTCCTACTTTACCTGTAACTATTCTACTTTTCTATGGTCCTCCACATGAAAATATTAATTCATGGTTCATCTCTCTTGAGAATATTTTCACCACTCAAGCTACTATGGATTCATTTATTTAATTCTACTTTGGCGGTACCATTATAGATCTACAAATTAAATCATTGCGGCATGCAGTATAGAATTTTTAAAGTTTCATTTTATTAAACAAAAAATTTTTTATTTTTATTTCTTGTTTTATTTATGAATTATCCACGTAGTATTATATAAACACCAAGTTTTTTTCAAATCGTTAAACTTGAAACAAGTGAACACTGCTTTTATTATTTATTCAGACCCACAAATTAATCAAAATGAGAAATCTATTTTCACATATTCTCCTCATTACCTTCTTTATCAATTTGCATTTGCTAGTCAATTCTCATGTTCTAAGAAATTATGCCTTTAAATCAATGCTACGAGAAAATCATCAAAGTGACCTCTCACAAAATTATATTTCTTCTAATTCTCCTGGTCTAGATGAATGTTCACCAAATAGCGCTACTTGTACTGACGGGAGTTGCTGTTCAGATAGCAGAGTATGTTGTCCAGACAAAATGTGTTGCCCGAGATTCTATGATTGTTGTGGCGCCACCCAATGCTGTTTATCAGGTTCGCCTTTTGTTGCAAAGGTATCAATTGTTGCAAAAATGGTGGCAATCGTTGTGATGACGGCATACGGCAAAAAATGTTGCGGAAATGATACATGTTATGAAAAAGAGAATACATGTTGCGGAACATTGTGTTGTGCACCAGGTGACATATGTATGGGACCTGGAAGGTGTTGCAAACCCAGTGAATCTTGTTGAAGTGACACAGTTGTTGGATTATCATAAAGGCATGAGATGTTGCAGAACCAGCTAATGATGTTAGAATTCAAAAAGAATGTATTAATTTGGGAGAAAGTAAACTTTACATATTATTTATTCTATATATATCCATTTTTTAAATTTTAAACAATCTTCAATGAAATTTTTAAAGAATACAGACATGACAAAAAATACGCGAAAACCATTTCCATGAATTTTAAAATATTGTGTTTTGCAAAGTATTAATTAATTTTTTTAAAAAAATCAATATTCAATGAAAAAATTTTTTTTTTGCTTTATTTAAAATATTTCTGTTCTTAATTCATGGTATTCATCTTACACAATAAACCATTAATAAAACGACTTGAGTTTGTTCATATTATATTATTCGATCAAAGTTATAATAAAAAATTTAATAGTTTAGACTGTCAAAGTTTTTATTACGCAAGATGAATAATTTGACAACATGACTATGATCTGAAAAATCTTCGTGAATCAAATAATATCCAGTCGACAACAACTAAAGAAAGAAAAAAAATGCTAAATTTATTATTTCCTTAGACATAAAATTATAATAGCAGTTACGAAAAGTAATTTGTCAATATATATATTTATATATATATATATGTTCTTGGGAAAAACTCAAACAATTTGAGGCATAACCATAATTTAAAATTTCAACCGAAATTGTTGATTATTTATTTTTAATATAATAACATGATAAAAAATAATTAAGAATAATAATATAGTCGACTTAGACCGTATTTCTCATTGATTCAATCGCTTCACTAAGAGAAAAAGAGAAAAATGCTAAAGTATTCCATCAAAAAAAGTAGTAATGATGAGTCAGATAATTATATCGACTATACAAGTAACAGTTATTTATCACGAAATCAGAGATATCATCAGAATGGCAATTTATTTATTTAATCAAGACAAATGTTTTGTCCATAATATAGAAAAGTCAACAAAACTGGATTGATCTTTTTGAACAATTTAGACGAAGGATAATTGAAACTTATCCATAGATGAACAATATAAACAAAGCTACCCTTATTTCTAATATATTTATAATAGAAGAACAAGTGGCAGCATTTGCTACTTTAAAAAAAATGGATCCGATTATAAAGTATCAATAAACAAACAGTTTATAAAATAAATTGAATAATTCATGAAATTAATTTACATGATTTTCTATTTTAACAAAAGTTCTTAATGGTAAAATGAAAGTAAAGCCGACCCACTCTAAAGGCACCCTCTGTATAAGAACTTCCCTCTTATAATCACACAGTTCTTGGTCCTTATATATAATAGATCATATAAAATTTCAATGCTATAAGAAATCCACTCTCTAGTCACACCATTTGTTGGTCTCGAGGGATGTTCTTATAGAGGCGTCGACTGTATTACAAGACAAAGGATTTGGAGTAATAAAGGATCTCCAGCTTTAACACAACAAAATATTGTAGTAGATATTTTATCACATTCAGCCAATGTATTTGGTAGTCATAAGGATTTATAGTTGTTGTATTTGTTAGTGTTTGGAAAATTTTACTGCATTATCGATTTGAAATGTATTTTTCATTTAGATATGCATATTCAAAATGATTTTTCCACAACTCTTTACACAATTTTTAATAGGTCAATAAGTAACTTGAGCAATCCAATATTTTAGTAATTAATTTTGGAACATGAAATGTAATTTTCTAAATTCTTTCCAACTATTTTCTTTTAAAATCATTCGTTAAAATATTTCCATGATGAATTTATAATGTCTATTAAAATTTTCTGATGTGATAAACTGTACATGAACCGATAAAAAATATCTTATTTGTGATCCGTGTAACTACTGGACAAATTGGAATCCAACTTACTGTACATTTTTTATGTTGAAATTTATTGAAAAAAACTAAAAAAATTTACCAGAAATGATAGATTACACACTTATTTACAAATTAAAAAAAAATGCAAAGCGATTTATAATTAGATAATGGACTTCTATATATGTTAAATTGTCGATCGGCGAATTTTACTTATATGCAAGACATTCACATTCAAAAACTTTTCCTTTTTTATAATATTTTTGTCCTGTTGTTACACGGATCCGAATTAATTTAATTTGACTTTGAAGAAAAAATAATTTTCACTGTAATAGAAAAATTGTAGATTTGGATTTAAAGAAATAGCAAAGGGTGGATTTGGAACAATATGGAGTCAACAGGATGTAGCATTAGAAAAGTTTGATAAGCTTAAATGAAGATCTCGTAAATGAGTCAAAATATTTTATAATATCCGAAATTTGGATTTTATTTATATTTATTATCTTAAAGAACTATAAATTAAAAAATATATATGATCCAGAAACAAATAATAACATTATTATTTGATGTCATTTAATTTTTATTATTATATTTTCATTTATTTTAGTATACATCTAGTTGTAGTTGGAATTATGGATAATTTCTTTATTCTAATCTTTTCTTTGGTAATGAGAATGTATATAATAAATTATAGAAAATTTTACTAATTGGGTGAATGGCCTATTTTAGTTATTAATCGAACGTCATCAATTCATTTTATTAATGAATGAAAGAATTTAATAGTTTTATGCTATGCAATGTATTCATACTTTTTTATTTGTTGTTAAGAAGGCATCAAAGCTAAAAGATTTATTGAGATGAGATTAAAATATAATAATTCTATTAATAATTTAATATGTATCATCTATTTATAATAGATATCTAAATAATCAATAACAAAAATTCATTCAACGATTCATCTAAAAAAATTTTTTTAGAATTTTTTACAGTTTAGTCATTTTTTTTATTAGGACTGTTAAAAATTATTCAATAGGAGTTTAATTATTATTGCAATTTACTAATTAAAACGTATATGTACACTAAATAGGGATACATTGTCTTAATAAACAAAAAAAAATAACAAAAAAAAATAACAAAAAATAAAAATAACTAAAAAAAATAACAAAAAAAAAAACTTTGTGCTATTTAAATTAAATAATCTAAAAATAAAATGTGTGTAAATTATGTTTCAATACTCGTTAAAAGCAATATCAGATACGATAATAATTATTTAATTCTTATTCGCCAAAAATGGATATAATAGATTTTGGGATTTTACTTGCCAATTTTAGGTAAGATGACCTGTGAGCTTGATTTTTTTTTTACGAAAGAGCATTTTTAGCTCTTTTTGCGGTTGATTTTTATTGCTGCAAGGACTCTTTCCAAATTTCTATGGTAGCACGTCCTCCTTCTGTCAGATGTTTTACATTCTCGAATTGATCATATTCAATCCATTCAATTACACAATAAAGTGCTGTAGTTTTTCGCTGACATTCTTGAATTAATTTATAAATTTCATTATTTCCAGATGTCCAATTTCCAAAATCATTTTTTAAATATTTACGAATACGAAATTCACAGTATTGGATTGCTTGATGACAATTTAGACAATTGTACATTTTTGTTTTTTTCTGAAGAATTACTGTTAACTCTTACACAATCTTATGCACCCTGTAATCTAACAAATAAAAATTCTTTTCATTTTCGGTGAGAGATGAATCATTTTTAACCATATTTTTAGATTCTTCTTGTTCAGTATGTGCTTTATGAATATTGGTGTTTAAAGAATAAAATGTTTCTCATTCCATTCAATTTTTCGAGTAGCCATTTCCTATTTCATTTAAAGGTAATATAATTTAAACGAATAATTAATTAATCTCTAATTTATTGCTTATTAATTTATTTACAAATAAGTGGATTATGTTTTTAATAATAGTTGATATGTAAGGTTTATTATTTAAATCGACTTTAATTATATCTAGCCAAATAATATTAATTTAAATTTGACGAATGTGCGCAGAAAATTACCAAGGCAAATTATTGATTAAATTATATTAAACCGTATGAGTTATATTTATGAATAATATAATATTTACATAAAAAGAAAACCGTGTGATAATAAAATTTTGTGACAACGGAATTGAATAAATAAATATAAAATTCAAGCAAGATTTTCAATCGCAGGTTTTGTTTACACAATATCAAAGGAACTTTTATTCTAGTCACATGATTAGAATGCATAAAAAAATTTTAAAAATGTTGATAAAAAATAAAATTGTTTTTCAATTATGTATATGTATAAAATATGATTTTTAAGCAAATCAATAAGCATGACCTTTAAAATTTTTTTCATATGATGGTTAAGCAAACTCTAGTTATGACCCTTATTATAATATTTCGGGGTCCTTATCAAGTTGATTTAGTTCAATATCTCGTCTTTTTGCTCCTCTCTTTATCCATGGAATATAATATAAAAAATTCCATGAGACGGCTCCTATAACCAGACATAAAAGAGTTGCCAAGATCTTCCAATATTCTGCTATTGAGTGGGATGATGAACCACAGTCACCATCATTATTACTTATAACTGGAACAACATGTATTCCAGAAAATGATAGAACAAATAAAGATATTAAGATAAAGGTTATTGGAACAATCACCCAAACTTTAAAAGTCCGAGGTTCCCTCCTAATACGTCTTAGAAACTTTAAATTAAGTATAAATAAATAAATAATATTATAAGCGAAAATAAACACATAATAAAAAATGGTGAATAATATACTTATACATACCAATAGACTGATGCCAGTCAAAAGGTAAAACAGTACTTCTGTGTATTCGCCGAATTCCACTAATGTAAGATATGTATTAGAGGTAAAAGGCCCCCCCAGAAAAACAAATATAATCGAACACCATAAATACTGCGTTAAAAGCGCAGCATGCGGTGTATCAAATTTAGTACTCCATTTAACAAATTTTCCAGATAAAAATGGAATGTAATTAAGTCTTGAGGCGGCCACAATGATACGTGACCCACTGCTTCAAATAAAGAAAATGATCAATAAATTTAATATTGAAAATGGAATAATAATTTTTATGATACGAACCTCCAAACAAACGCGGAAACCGCCCCGAGTGCTGAGATAATGGCAAAAAAGGATAAAGCACGTGCGAGCTTATCGTCCGCTATTTCTTTGGCGAAAGACCTCGCCAAAAATAAACTGAAGCTTTGTCTGGTTTTTATAGCATCACTTTTTTTTACGGTAGAAAATAATGCCACATTTGTCAATATATCTACAATAATAATTATTAATATTAACATCATAATATTATTTAATTTTCAATAATAACTGGTGATATAGTAATAGTAATACTTACATAGTAATCCGACTACGGCAACACTAGCACAGCTGCTATGAACTAAATTTCTCGCAGGATTTTGAAATTCATCCAAAGCAAAATTCAAATTATTCCATCCATTTCCGGCAAAGATAATCTAGATGAATAAAAATGTTAAAGATTCTATGAAATGCTTGATTGAAATTTGAGTAAATAGTTTTGGAATACTAACCGGTACTAAAGCACTCGCAATTATTGCGGGTGTAGGTTTCTCAAAACCCATACTCCAAATACTTTCTTCAGTGTTCAATTTAGATCTAATATTAGTCAATCCCAGCATTATAATAACGATTAATGTTATTATTTTGATGATTGAGAATCCTGTGTTGATTCGTAGAGTCCATCTATTTGAAAACAACTGGTACGTAGTCACGATAGCCAATAATATTAATCCAATGATTTTAGATATACTGCATGTATAAAAAACAAATAAATAGAAACCATCATCAGTTATTGTAATGATTGAATCAGTTGAATTTATTCTATATACGTACAAGAATTCTCGTGACCATCCTTTCGGATGGAAATATTCATCATATTCACATTTTTCCGGATAATCAATAACCGTGAACAGGAAGAAATTCGTCGCTCCTTGTAGCACGGCCGCTGTGGTTACGGGTCTAATCAAGACCACGAAAGAAAAACTGAAAAGATAGCTTATTAACCTATACAGGTTATTATTTTCGAGGCGAACAAAAAGTTTTTTTAAGTTATCGGTTTACCTATTAATTAAAAATTTAGGCTTCTTCAAGAATAATTACCTATATGGGACAGGAAATCCCTCACGTAAATAACCTATTTCACCCCCTCCTTCTTGAATCATGTTTCCTAATTCTACATAGGTAAGTGCGCCACAAACGTTCATTATTGCTCCCACAATCCATAATATAATTGCAGTCCAGGGGGATCCAACCTAATAGTAATGATAAATAAGAGTTAGAAATAATACGGGAAAATCACAAGATAAAGGACCGAATTTTCTACTGTACTTTTTGTAAAACAATTCCTGGAGCCGAAAAAACTCCCTACCAGAAAAAAGAGAATCGATTACTATAATGACTCTAAAAAAAAAGTATAAAGTGTTTTTTTTTTTACATACGGATCCTATCATATTATTAGTATTTCCGGAAAATCCGGCAAAAGTATTTATAATTCGCTCTCTTGTAGTCTCATAGTCGTTGTTGTCATCACGATTATCATCAACGGGCATGTTAATTATATAGTAGTGTTAATATATTATATACTATATTTATTTATCAAAATGAAAATTTTTTTAAATCGACAGAGTTTGTGAATAATGAGGACTTTTTATAAGAAATTTCCAACAAAACGAATTATTCATAATGAACTATGTAACGATTTGTTGTTTAAGACGATAACAAGGTCAATGAATTAAAGTTTTGCATCACTATAGCTGGTCCAAATTTTTCTTTAGTATGCTTTTACAAAAATTTCTAACAAAATGAATTATTCGTAATGAACAGTGTAACGATTTGTTGTTTTAAGGCGATAACAAAAAATCTATGGGAGAATCTACTCCGATTAAAGTTTTGCATACCTATGACCTTTCTGTTTCGAATTTTTCTTTTAGTATGCGATATATGTTTTTGTTGTATGTGAATTTTTGTGGTTGCGTATAAAATTCGTGTAACATTTAGCCAACCATGAATGAAACCGATCGACATTTTCCCCATCTGTATAGAAAGTCGATGGGAATATTTACTCCGATTAAAGTTTTGCATCATTATGACCTTTCTAGTTCGAATTTTTCTTTCAATATGCGATATTTGTTTTTGTTGTACGTTAATTTTTGGAAATGCGTGTCCGATTCGTTTGTTTTTTAATTGACGATCCGTCTATCAGTGAAACTGATGGGCATTTTTTCATCTGTGCGTACAGTAGCAAGTCTCGTGATACATAGTAATATGCAGTAGAATAGTACTAAAATATTTACTAGTTTAATTACTAGATTATATTCTTATATGTATATATTATTTATTTAATTATTTAATTATTTATTATTTATTATTGATTATTGATTATTGATTATTTATCAGTTCATTTTCCCCGTTGTATTTTTTTTTAATTAAAGATTAATTAATTTTATAACTCAACCGGACAGATAGAAAACCAGAAATAATAAAATAAAATCACGTAAATAAAAAATATTATTTCAAAAATTTATAATTAATTAATAAAAAAATATGAATATCGTAGAATTTATTATATTTGAATGTTTAATTGTATAATGTTATATTCTTGAGTTAATAAATTATCGTAGATACATGATTAATATCTAATCAGAATAATTAACCATGATGAATAACCAGAATAAATAACCAGAGTAATATATTAATTTAGAATAATTTTCAGAGTTAAAATTTAAGAGAATGCTGACTTATATAAATTTTTAACCAGATATTAATTAACCAAAGAAAAAGAAAACTTCCAAATATAATATAGCCTTAAAATTATATTTAGATAAATATATATTTTAACATATGCATATAGGGTTATAACACTTTGAACATAAAAAACTACTACAGATCCTATAAATTTTATATAAAAATTATATAACTCAAATATAAATGATTTAGCATCTCTTAAACTATTTACTTTAGTGTTAAAATAATTGAAATTATTATTTATTTTATATATTATGTATTTTTTGATAAAAAAAGTTATTATATAATATAGATACTTATTTATGATAAATTTTATATAATCAGGATAATTAAAATTAATTTGGCACATCATTTGTACTATTAAACTAATAAATAATTTTAACAAAAAAAAAATTAAATATTTTTATTTAAGTAATAATTCTGATGCATAAATTTGTTTTACTATATAACAAAGTTAACAATTTATAAAAAAAGCATTTGTTTTATTTTTTTTTTATAAAAATTAATGAAAAAAATTACAATTGCTTGCTATTACTATACATATACATCAAAATTAACTTTGACGCATTATACTAGTTATGAAACCCCGATAAATTCTTAATTGGTATTGTACGATTAGATTTGCGGTAGAAGTTATAAAATCTCTGTATAATCATACTATTTCGTACTAAGTGATTTTCTATACGGTCTGTGCAGAACGATAGGTCAATCAGTCTCAAATTTATTACGCAACAAAATATTTCTATCAATACTCTCACGTAGTAAGATCAGGCAATTAGTCGATCCAAACCCGCTTACTAACAATCACAATTAATGTAGCTACGTTTAATATCCGAAGGTACTATGAGCAAGTGGAGTAAAAGTATCTTTATTACCGCTTGCACACTACCAAACTGAACAGACTTTTGATGTAACTTGGTTTAAGGATATAACAATAGCGATATATTACTGCTTTGGAGTGTCTTATCATTTTGCTAATCCCGCGACTAAATTATTTAATATTATTATAATTATCACGAATGAAAGTAAAAAAATAAAAATGATTGAAATAAAAAAAATATAGAAACTAAAACTAAGATTGTTCGAAATATCAAGTAAAATATTTTATTTTGGTTCTTGTTCTTTTTGGCGAAAAAGAATCTCTTGTTTTTCTTCCTTTTTTCCGCAGCTATTTTATATCTTACCCTTTATTTAACTTCATCCTTCATCATTCATAATCACGGGGTGAATAAACAGTTAAGCACAAGGATAATTCATCCAAACAGTGACACATATCATCTCCCGTGATTTCGGTTAATTTCAGTACTTACTACCGAATTTAAACTTCGAGATGATACCAAATTTGGAATTTTAACATTCGGCAACGAACTTCTCTACATGTTTCTAATTAATATAATTGAGATACAAGTGACCTCACTGCATAAAGTTAAAATCCATTCTTTAAATTATTAGAATATTTAAAACTACAGATCATAAAAAATAATGGTTAATTTTTTAAATTTTTTGAATAGGAAAAAAATCCATGCAACATATTAATTAAAATTAGAAGAATCACTTGGCGCATTCAAACTTTAAATATATACTGATGTATAAATAATCACTAATCAACATAAAATAACAAATAACATCGATAAATTTAAAATAACTAATCTAAAAAAAAAAAACTTAGTAAATAGGAGATTATTAAAGTTATTAAAAATAGTAAAATAGTAAAAACGATTACTTATATACAAATCATAAAATGAAAAAAAAAATAAATTCGAATAATAATAATTCTATTTCTCGGTTGAGATTCCAAAAATGATTTCCGAATTTTCCAATTTGTTTTTGATTAGAACTTTTTTAAAAATTTAATTACAAATATTTTTTTTTAAATACAAAAATACTATTCATTATATCAAAATAATCATTAGATCTATGAAAATCATATATAAGAAATTATTAATGTAATGAATTATTTCAATTTTAAAATCTTTCAAACCAATAAATATCATATCGAATTAGTAAATTTTAACCTGGATTTTTTTCAAATGGGTTTTCCGGATTCAACCATTTCAAGTCGTTTTTATCAACTTCTTTAAATTCCAACAAATTTTCATGTTACTTACTCTCTTAGTTAATAAATGATTATAAAACAACAGGGTAATAAAATAAGATAAAGGAATAATAATTTTAATTATATTACAAAGAATGTCCGCAAAGATCTCTCGGATCAAAGGTTTTTCAAGTTATTACGTGATATGATGTGATTTTTTTTTTACTGTGTCGTACGACAAAGTATTTAATCCGATAATTTCTTCTCTCTCTCTCTCTCTGGCCTTTAAAATCAAACATGATATTAATAATAATGACAATTTGAAAGCTGACAATAATAAGAAAAAATGAATGATGATGCCAAAAAATATTTTGTCTTGACAATATTTTTTCCAGGTACAAAGAGTCCAAATATTTTATTGATAATCGGCAAAAAAGCTTGCTGAAGATGCTATGAGAGAATATAACCGTTTATACAGTATAATGGTTCTAACATCATTCAAGAATCCGATGATAAACATTTTTATGAAAGTGATAAAGAAATCCAATTTTGTGAATACTTTGGATGTGATTATTTAAGAGAATTTGGTTTCGTTCAAATTACAGAAAATAGTAATCAAGATTATTATTGAATGAAGGGAAAATAAAATTAAAGGCATGAAACATTAATGATTTGATTATTATTTTCAGAATTGTTATTAGAATTCAAAATATTACGATCTCTCATTTAATAAATAACTTCTTAAATGTAGATATAAATACTCTACAACAAACGTTTAATCCTTTCAAATTTATTCGCTCGCATTTAATAATAATATCATTCTCTCTATAAACACCTTTAAAATGAAAGATGCAGTTAAATCTTTCTTATTGAGAATTTACACATTTTACATTTTTGTATATTACCCTTTTAACATTTTATTTTATTTCGATAATTTTAATATATGTAATATAATAAAGAAATTATTAAAAAAAATTGATGCAATTGTCATTTCTCAAAATAAATCTTTCAAAAATATCTTTCAAATATATCTTTCACACCATCACGTACTTTATATTGTATTTTTTATTGTATTTTTCACGACACAGTAATTGTTTCTTTAAAAAATTAAAGTGCCATAAAAAAAAAATTGATCGATAAAGGATTAGTAAATGATTGTTCATTTACTGTCATCATTTTTTTCTTTATTAGAACTCCCCATCAAAATATAAAACAAAAAATATTAATAAATATAATGAAATCATTATTGATTATATCTACTTATAAATATTTGAGGAAGGAATTTATTGCTTTGAGTGTTCAACACTATTATTATCATCACCTATTCCCCTTTTATTATTAACTTGGCTCTCTTTCCTCTCTCTCTGTCTTTCCTCTTTCTCTCTAATGGTTCATGATAAAAAAACGAAATGAAATGAAAAAATAAAAATTTAATAAAAGATTCCTATTAGATACTCTTTATAACTTTCATTCTTTGATTCCTTTAGCCCCCCAGATAAATTATAATCATCATCATATCATAATCATCATTACCATTCCCTTTCTAATTTAACATTATGAAAAAAATGGTGATTTATTAATAAAACTTATATAAAACTTTTATTACAACAAATACTGTATTAAATAATGCTATGGTTAATTACAATAATTATGAAAATATATATTATACGATAGTTTATTTCTTTTTAATTTATTTCTTTCACAAAATTTAAAATTCAATTACTAATTTTTTTTTTTAACTTTAATACTTTAAGTACTTTATAAAATGGTTCTGGAACATCTAATGATTAATAGAATGATATATGATTTGAATTCAATTAATTTATTTAATTCTTTAAATATTTCTTCATTAATTAATTTTATTTATTTAATAAAAAGATTAATTTTATCATTATATTTTTTTAGCTTGTAATGGTAATGAACTGGCACAATCTAATATATTGTCACGTCTGGACAGCACACGACTGAATTACACAACAAATCAAGCTCCCAGTCACAATAATAGCTTACACTTCTTCGTGTATCGCTATACAGTGTGACAACTTTAAATGACAACTACGAAATCGTAGATATTATCTGAAAGGTACGTGAGCAAGTGAAGTAGAGGTAGTTTTCCCTATGTATATTATCGATGCTAGAACAGATTTATAAGTGATGAAATGTTTATTTATAATTAGACAACCAAAAGAAAGTTTTATTAGAAGTTAGGCAACAAAATATTACAATGACGTGTTTCTATTCTGTTACTACTTCTACTATTTACATGAATATTATTATAAACGTTGTTATAATTATTTAATAAAATAAAATAAAATAAAAATAAAAAAATAAAACAAAGAGACAAAGTATCAAATGTTGCTATTTCAAAATATGCCGTGAAAAAATATGAACTCTCTTTTTTCCCTCTTGCTACCACTACTTTTATATTTCTTTTTCCTCCATCATTCTCATCATTTATTCTTCTCCATCATTTCATCATTGTACAACTCCATCATTTCCATCATTGTACAACTCCATCATTTCCATCATTGTACAACTCCATCATTTCCATTATTGTACTTCTCCATCATTTCCATCATTTGTATTCCCATAGCACATGTTTTCTATGCTGCTATCTTCGTACCATCTTACCAATCTTTCGTCGTCACCACAATACGAAGAATACTGAAAATTTATAAAATGTGTACATAAAGTTCAATGAAAATAAGATTAACTTGAGATAAAATCAATACATTGTAATAAATTTAAAATTTGAGCCATAAAATAATGTAATCATGTCAACAATATCAAAACAATATTTAATAAATTTTTTTTTTCGTTAATAAAATTATTATCTAGAAAATTGTATAAATTTCATATACTGTTGAGTTTTAGTACATGATATTCGACTTAACAAGTAATAAATAATTCAACGAAACACATACAATAACTCAATGTGTAAATATTATGATTTCTTCCATATCAAATTGAACTCCGTATTCTTCAATAACTTTAAAATTTTCGTTCTGGACGTTTAAAAATAATCTTTTTTATTTACTACTCTTTTACAACACCACCCTTCAAAAAAATTTTCTTAAACTATCAGTACTAAATACACCCATTCTAATTTTAATAGTTTCAAGTGATTCTGATACATTTTCAACCATTTGATAATTCATTAGAGTCAAAATCTTCTTCACAATTAAATGGAAATCTTCTTAATTTATTAAAATTATTATTAAATTTTGGTATTATTTGTTCATGACTTAAAGTTAATTTGGTAATCTTCATACAATAATTTAAAAATTGCTAAAAATATATCAGATGTAATTGCGGAATGTAAACCTAGACAAATATTTTTTAAATTTGTATTTGGCCGTTTGGAGAATTTCAATAATACATAAATTCGAGACTCTACATGTGTGTGTCTAAAATGAAGACAACTTAATTGACAATTCGCGAATAAATGAGAATAAAATTTGAGGATATGTTAATAAGAAAAATTATTAATCGTATTAAAATATTTATTTCCCGTGAAAATAATAAAAAGTTATATAAATTTTGATATCGGAATTTTCTTATATATGTTGTAACTGAGATGTCATCTTTGCCTCAGGCGTCACCCTTTGACCAGAATTATAGAACTGGTCTATGTAGATTTTATGTAGATCTTTAAAACTTCAGCTAACCCTAATCCTAACTCTGGTCAGTTGACATCTGAGTTAAGAAGACATCTGAGGTACAACATATATAAAAAAAAATTTAAAAACCTTTTTTCATAAAAAGATAGAAATAATAATAGTATATATATTATATTTTAAAATTTATTTGTGATTATATTTTAAAAAATTATGCTTAGTTGGAAATGTAGATTTAGAATTATGATAAATTTATATATAAATTTTATATATTAAATTCTTATTTATTCATGAATTTGAAATTAATTGAGTAAATGATGAAGCAGAGAATAAACTATTCAATTTATGCAATCCATAACAATCTTCAATATAAAGTCCTTGAGTGAAATAAATTGACCAATTGGTGATGGTTTCTAAACATTTTTGAGCACTAATAAGTTTAAGTTCTGCCCATGAAAATCTGAGTCCAAGGACAAATCCATATTTAAAATATTAACACAATTTAATTTTAATGATTATATAATGGACGAATTGGTTTATGATTTCCTATCTTCGAAGTAAAACTTTTATAATTTCTTAAATACTGCACCAGAGAATTGAACCATTAAGTCACTGCAATTATGAAAATTTGTAGAGAAATTGTGGGGAATTCTTGCCAATATTAAATAATCCAGAAATGAGCAACGATTTATTATTAATTTACATATATCACGAAATAGTATTCTCGATTTGTTATCATTATAATTATTGTTATTATCTTGATATGAACCAATAATTTATGTGAATACATGGAAATAAAAAATAAACTAGATTATTATTAATTGATGAGTGAATGATGGAATGGATAATCAAAAGTAGCTCAAAGTGGTGATGATGATAAATCAAATCCATTTCGAATAAGTAAAGTTCTAGCTTGGGCATCCATACATAATAATGTTTTATTCTCAATTTCTAATCTTCCGTACAATATTCTTGAACAAAAGGTAATTCTCAAAGTATACGTATAGTAACTTTACACCAGATTCGATTAACTAATAATGATGAATATAAATCTTGAGTTGATTTAACATTATTTAAAGTCATAATCCATAATTCTGTGTAAATCTTATTTGTCATTTTTTTTACCTAAGAAACAAGAGAAAATTTTTAAAATATAATTTAAAAATTTTAATTGTACATTACAATTACCATATAAAATAAAAATCAAAAAAAATATGCATTTTCAAATTTAGGAAATAATTATTTTATATCCTTTCTATGTTTAAAGAAAAGAAGAATTTTAATATAAATATTTTTTCTAAAATTTGTGTTCTTATTCTAAGCTACAAGTTTATTTAAGATAGTTTGCAACAACAATAAATATTAATCGTTACAATCAATCAATAATTTAGTTCGCCATTTTTGGTTAATTTTATTTAAAACAAAATTTATGCATCCCTTGATATAGAACTTTATAATTACTAATAAAACATTTAAAAGGTTATAAATATTTATATTTATAATAAAAACAAAATAAAATGTGGATAGAATAGGTAGAACTGATAGAATTATTTATTAATTTTTGATATTGTTTTACCACCTATATAATATCTTTTTGAATAATTCCAAATACTGTACTTGAGAGAAAATTTTTTTTATTATTATACCATTAGAAAGAAAGAAAAAAATAAGAATATGTGATTTTACGCGAGAACTATTTCTCTATTCATTTAAATATATACCACTATGTTCACATTAATCATAAAATTTTTTTATAGCAGTGGTTATGAACATATTATTAATTGGAGACACATCGGAGACAATTATGAATTCCATGTCAAACATAAATTCATACTATACTTAAAAATTCTTTGATCATTCACAAGAAATATATTTTATTTATGTAAAATATAGCAGAATTTTATTAAAAATTTAAATAGAAAACTTTTTATTTAAAAATTGAAATGAAAAAAATATAATAAATGCACAATATGGAGCTTTAATATAGTATCAGGTAATAAATGAGAATAAATTTTCGTAACAATTTTACAAGCAAACAGCAAAAAAAAAAAAATAATTAACCACAAATTAATGTAGTAAAATGTGAACTGCAAATGAAAAATTTATTTTATAATATTAAAAAATATAAATAATATTTAATATTCTTGATAAAAACGTTACTTAAAAAACATTTTATTTTGTTTATATCCCGAGGCCAACATTATCTTCTTGTTTATCAATAAAATAAATTATATAAAATTTTGTATATACCTTATTCAATCCATTTTTATTTTACTCTTTGTGTGCTAAATAAAAAACAAACAAAAGTAGAACATCTTGACTATCTTCTTGTGGCCCAAAAAAATGCAAACATTTATCTTGGAAGGCACCTCACATTCATTTAAAATTTAATTTTTATCTATTTTAGCAAAAATATGTATCATTTCTCTCAATTATTATCAGTTCTGAACTTAATTACAAAAAATAATAATAACAAAAGCTATGTAAAAATAAATAAAAATGGGTGTTTCACGTGGTATGACTGATAGTGTCATTATTTTATAAAGAAACATTAATTATTTATGATAGAATAATAAAAATTACATTTCATTACTCTTTAAGCATAATTCCAAGTAAAAAAACAGCAAAAAAATTTTAACAAGGTAATTTTAAAGCATATAAAATAACAATTATGTGCCGAAATATTTTTTAAAAAAATAGTTAATAAATTATAATTTAGAAAATTAACTCTGATGACTTGATTCAAATTAAATAAAATTAAAATTAAAAAAAAAATTAAATAAGATTTGATTTGAATTTTTCAGAACATTTTCCCATTTCTTTCATTTCTTTTTATTATTTTTTTTTTTTACAAATTAACCCATTCTTTAAATTTTTCGGAAATCACAACACGATACAAGGCTGAATAACATTACCCTGCATGTTTTGAGCTTCTGTTTCCCTGTCAATACTATGAGATTTGACACTTGAAGTATTTGATTCATTGGACCCATTTTTCTGCCTGCTTTGAATTTCTGTTTCCCTGTCGATATTATGAATATTGGCACTTGGAATAGCTGATTCATAAGACTTTAAAATAAATAGGATCTATGAATTTAAAAAATTTAATTAAAATTTTTTATTAATTAATTTATTTGTTAAAATAAAATTAAAATTCTAAGAATATACCTGAAGATTTTCCTGATTTCATTTCTTCCAATAAATCTTGTAATTCATGAAGAGTATGAATATATTGGCTAATATAACACGATTGAGGATGTAACTTACTTGAAAATAATTCAAATAATTCTTGCTTTTGAGATTTTGATATATTTTTTTGATTATCATCAGCAATTTCAAGTTGTCGCATAACATTATTATTCACTGTATTATCATAAATTTTATCAAATATTTTAGCAGCAGTAGGACGTTCAGAAAAATCATCACTACAACATTGATACATCAAGTCTAAATACCATTCTGGAATCCAATTTAACATAAAATAAGGGACCTTTAGTCTTACACCATACATATATATATCATTAAATAAGTATAATGTGCTTGATCAGTAAATGGTCGTTGTGCTGTAACTAATTCTATCAAAACTATAAATATCACCCTCCCTTGAAAATTCATTTCTCTTAACACCTCAGGTGGAATATGCGGAATTGATCCATAAGTTTTGCTATTTTTGGAATCAGAATTTAAAATTAAAAATCATCATATATATTTACTTGAAATTGTTAAATTTTAATAATTTGATAATTTCCATATGTAAAAGTATTTATATACTATGAAAAATAATGTTAATAACCATAATCACGAGAATATGTTGCATCTTCTATAAAATTTTGTAACCAATTTCTTGAGAATTGAGTGAATAGTAATTAATTTTTTTTAAGAATAAAATCATTGATTATTTATCTAACTTATGTTCTAAAATTTAAAACTTTTACAGTAGATATACTATGTTCTCTAAAATAAGGTTACTTATTATCATTTTGGATGGTTTATAAGTTATAAAAATACTTTTGTGTGTAGCTACAATCGAACATATTAAATTAATTTTTTTTATGGTGGTCGATCGTAGCCACACACAAAAGTATTTTTAAGACTTATGAACCATCTAAAATGATAATAAATAACTTTATTTTAGAGAACATAGAGCATCTACTGTAAAATCTTAAGACTTTGTGCTATATTCTCTAAGTTTATAAGCAATAGTCATGATCGCTGACATGTTAAATTAAAAAATTGATTTGCATCACATGATCGTACTAATTGTGTACTAAAAATTCTAAATATAAAATATACGTACATACAATACATAAGAATCTCTTTAGGTGCGATTAGCTAGTAATTGAGATGATACTCGAACGAATCATTAAAATAATGTGATGATAAATTTTAGCCGGTCAGCGTGACTTAATAAAAAATGAGCTGTCCCTCTATCAGATGCAACGATCAAATCATTTAAATTCATATAAATTGGTGAGCTGGGTAGGCTGGATCAAGTTTTAAAATAAAACTCAGATTGGGATTAAAAATATTCCTCGAGCTTTTTGGTCTTAGGTAAGCTCGGTCCAACCTGGCTCATTTCGTACCCTAATTCAATGTAACCAATGTGATGTAATGGTGATATAATTTAGATATAAATATCACTACATTTTATCTAATAGAATATTTCTATATTTAGTATTAACTTTCTTTCATTTTATTTCATATTATATTATATGTATTTATCTTTGATTGGTTTTTATACATACAAATAATTAATGACAATAGAAAATAATTGTGAAGTTAAAATTACATAACAGTTTTAATTTAACATAACAAAATTTAATAGTACAATGAATAATAGAAAAACAATTGTACATATACATAAACATAAAGGAAAAAAAACTTAAAATTAGAGTTTTTCTTTTTTTTATATTTGGAACATATATAAAAAATAATTATTTATACTGATAATTTTTTTTCGAGTATACATATAAACTGTACTGTATGAAAATGCTATCTTGTACTGTACGAATAAAAATTAGTGTGACTGTATGATTTTTTTGTGCTGTACGGTTGATTAATTAATATCATGTGATATGTTTTCATACATAACACGAATTGAGCAGCTATCAATCTATATTACTGAGAAAAATGGTCTTTTTAATAAAATTTTTTTTTAGAAACGCATCTTTTTTTAAGAAAAATGGAAGAAAATTATACTTTCTTTAATGAAGAATGTGAAGAACTTATAAAAGAAGTAAGTTTAAATGCAGAAATGTATAAAAGAAAATATTTTAAATATTTTTACACACGTTTTTATACTTTTTTATACTTTTTTATACTTTTTTTTGAATTTTTAAATTGTTTCACAAAATGATAAACCCGATA